TCAGTTATTATTATTATTATTATTATTATTATTATTATTATGCAAAAATAGAAAAATTGAGTGACTTTTTTTTCAGGGTAACTGGAATTATTCCTAAACCTGACTTGATTACACAGAGTAACAGGCAGTGCTATAAAACACATTAAAATTCTAAGTCATGTATTTTTGTTCAACCAAAATAAAGTACAATAAGGGGAAAAAAAAACAGGGAAGGGAGAAAAAGCTTTTCAACTAGGCAGATATTTTAGAAGCGATTTTAACTGACTTTTAAATAACCAGAACTAATGGATATGGCATTAGATCCAACCATCACATATTAGCTTAGCTTTCCCCTGACACTGTGACTTAGGAAAGCCACCCTTCAGCTACAGGAAGTGTCGCATCACACAATTGGGTTTCGGCTCTAGGCACTGCGGAAGCTGATTCTGATCTCCCTAAGTTATAAGTACATTCACTGTTATAGCATTAGTCCTAACTTACAGCAATGCAAAGCTGGCTGGAATTAGACTCATAATGTTTGAGTGTTTTACTGTTCCCACTAAGGTATCTGTAACTACTATCATATAGTACTGATTCTTTTCCACAGAGGATGGTGTGCTGCAGTAAAGAAGGAATTTTATAGTTGCCTATCGCTTGTGGAAGGATGATGTAGATGTACGTCTCCAAACACAGGACGATTCTGCAAAGCACTGTCATATAACTTTTCCATTACCTTAAAGAAGTAAGCTCTGAGCAAAGCACTTTTGTTATATTTGATTATTTCTACACTTTTGTAATAGTCATGGTTAAAAATAAATTAAAGCTTAGCAAACAAATGTATTAGGGACATCGTGGACAAAGCTGTCATCCTTAAAGTGGTATTTAAGCCATCCTAGATGCAACTTGTGCATAAAATAAAGGGAAAAAAATCAATCCATAAAATGGACGTAGAGGCCTATATTCTGTATTCTCAGAAGTGACTTAGGCACTTAGAAAGCAGAGTTCTGTTGATCTTCTAGGAGACTTAAGCCTTGGGGTTAAAAACGTTGCCCAGTTCAACCAGCATTTGACATTTTAAGAAGGTATTCGTTACTTTACAGAGATACAAATCCATCTGTATTAGAATAAAATAGATTAACATATTAGCCAAATGGAAGGGGACTTGCTCTGCTGTTCCACCGATTTCAATTTAAAAAAGAAATAAAATCCCACAACAGTGTAACTATGATGTTGTAAAATCAGTATTGAGATAGTTGCATAAAAGTGTAAGTACAAACTAGCCAACGAACCAACCAAAGACAGTGACCCTGTGCCAGACAAGGATCCCTGAAGAGCAAAGTCATCTATTTGGAAGACAGTATCAGAAGCAATGCAAACCTGCCCACAGACTTGTTTCGGTTCAATCCAAGAGGGGTTAGTTTCCATGTATATTCAATTCTTGACCTCTTTTGTAAATCCCAACAAAAGGGTCTGATTAGTTTCAGACATGGTAGTAAAAGCTGCGGTGTGCTCTCTGGCCACTGGAAATCTGACCAAGAGCAGCACTTCAGTTCATACGGAGCAGAAACCAGTCCCTGATGGGAATGGCTCTCACTTGCTGCAAAGTCAGCTTGGATTCCAACCTGCATCCTCGTGCTGAAAGGTTTTTTTCAGTCTTGTCCTTTTGACTCAATCCCTCAGCTATCCTGTCCCTATAAAGTTTATTTCCTTCCCTTCTCTCGCTCCTTCTCCCTTTCCTCAGTTCTTCTGTTCCCTTTTTTTAGCCTGGTGTGAAGGCAAGGCCTTGTGCAAGTCCACTACAGAACAGTGGTTTTGGTCTCATTTAATGCAAGTTAGCAATGGGGGAGGTGTTTTTTTCCATCGTAGGCATCCAGCAATGAAGCTGTCTGCGCTGTAACTATTCTTGGTAGTAAGAATGCTCTTCTTCATTCAAGTCAGCACAGCCTTCTCTGGAGCCAAGAAGTATAAGGCCTTGTGGAAATAATAGAAGTCGACAGTTCCAGAGCTGATAAATGTCATTCCAAATTGCCCCTTCATTCACTTTCATTGTGTGTTCAGGCTAATGGTAAATTAATCGGAGGTCACAGAAGCTTGGTTCTCATAAAGGAGGACAAGTAAACAATTTTCAGCTATTGTATGTATTTACAAAATGGTATTACTTCACCGTTTGGTCTTCATAACATTCTTACTTCTGTTATTTCAAAGAGCATTCTCAAACCCTCACTGGAAGTCAAATACATTAAAAATTCAGTCAGAGAGTTTAGAAATCCTGCGCTGGATCACGAGTTGATAATAATTTAAGTAATTTCCTTTACCACAGTGGAACTACACTGATTTATTCCACGGGAGTCTAAAAAATATCTGGGAGACAGGTAATAATATACAATTGTGTTAAGTGTGAAGATGACTGTTAGGATCTTCACTCCTATACTCAGTGGGCCATTTTACTCTTCTTCCTATCTGCAGACATAAATTCAAAATTCTCTCCTCTTCCAGTTTAAATCAAGAACTGCACTGTCTTCATTATTGATTTGTGCCTGTGTAACCACGAGAAGAATTAGGTGCTGGCCTACCTTTCTTTTTAATTATAAAATCTCTCAGCTAACATTCTGCCCCATTACAGATTAGCAGGCTTCACTCTCAGTTATACCAAGGCTGTGTATAAGAGCAGCATGACAGCTAGGGCAAATAAGAGTAATAAAAAGAAAAAAATAGATGTAGCACGTTCACTCCAGGTAGATGGTCTCTTTCAACAGCCAGGAGATTCGATTTTATACAGTGGGATCACAGACTCTAGAACTACTCCCTGCACTTAAGTTTTCATTCGAGAAAGCTCAGTATTGATTGGTCCCTGCCTTTTTTTGACATGCAGTTATTCTAAGATGCCATTGATAAGGGGTTTTTTTTCAAGCCAGTATTTTTTAAAGAGTTAAACAAAGTCAAACATTTGTTTATGTATCAACCAAAACGATTAATGCTTAGACCAGAGGACGTTAAGACCCAAAAGGCTTGTAATAATATAAACACAGATGTGATGAAAATATAATATGATCTTGATTAAAGGTTATGAAATGTTTCCTTTAAAGTAGCGCATTTGGCTAACAAAACAAAACACACGCAGAAAAAATAAATGTAGAGAATAAAGCATAAGCGAAAACACACGACGGAGGGCTAATAAAATGAAGTACCCACAGCAAAAGCAAAGCATTGGTAAAGAGATTCCCATCCCCTGTATCACAGCAGTGTCAGAACAGTCGCTGTTTTAGGGAGAGCTGGTGGTTTGCTTCCCAGGATTGGAAGACTGTCATTAACCAAAACTTTGGAGCTCAGGGAACTTTAAATCCTTGATTTGCTCTAGATTTTTTTTCCCCAGCTGATCTCTAGACATAGGAGGGAAGAAAGAAGAACCCTTCATCTACACCAGAATTTGGGGGGTAAACAAAATATTCAAGAGCTGTATTTTGTAGCTTCACTCAACCTGGATTCCTGTAACTTTAAGCTTTTGTATTTAAGCATCAGACACTGGAAATCTCCAAATATAGGTGCCTGACAAGCAACATTTGAACAGAAATACTGCTGGTAAGTTCAGTGTGCTTCACACTGCTTTTATAAGGTTTGTATGGTCCTTCGAAAAAGTAAAATGCTAGGTAAACACAAAGTCCTTATTAATATGGGAGGAAAAAATGAAAGAGAGAGGAAAGGATTTGGTCACAGTCATACAGTAATGTAGCGGCAGAGTTTTAGACAGACCCAGGAATTCTGACTCGCAGTCACCAATGTTGCAAATAGTTGGCTGAAATGGTGTCTTTTCTAATCTTTCAATCATGCTGTCTCTATTTACTTCCTCCTAAGATAAAAGGTTAATTTTTCTCTATGGAGAATGGATATGGAAAAAGAAGGGAATAAAATCTGATTTTGAGAATCTCTCTAAACCGTTTATTAAAAATGGCACTATTTCAACACCAAGAGCTGAATAAAAGACTGATAGCCCAGATGAATGAACCCGTCTCAGAGAAAGAAAAAAAGGGTGGTGGTTGGAAAGAACCCATACGGTTCATTTGGATTTCATAATCTCACTTCTTTTCACATATTTTAAAGATTAGTATACTATTAAAATACAGTTACTGAATTATTGTACTGTCATTTAAATCCAAGTGCTGTATCCCACTGTGGCACACACTGAAGGTCCAGGTTGCACGGTTTATTACAAAATCATGAACTACTCTGTGTATCATCTGACTGGCAATACAAATGTGCTTAAATGACCTGGCATAAGCACAGCCTAGCATGCTCTACTAAAGAGGCTTTTCATGACCTCTGGGAACACATTCGCCACATCTTGCTGCTTATTTAAATGACCTTGACAGTACAAATTACAGCCA